GCACACCACACACCGCACACACCACACACTGCACACCACACACTGCACACCACACACCGCACACACCACACACCGCACACACCACACACCGCACACACCACACACCGCACACCACACACTGCACACCACACACTAGACAGCACTCTGCACACAGCACCGCACACCGATAAGGGACACGACACCCAACCCCGCTGGATGACCGCTGCCCACGCCCCCCATGGCTGGTGGCTGGTGGCCTTCAGAGGCCGGAGGGCAGCACTGGCCCCCTGACCGGCTCCTCCCGCACAGACTCTGGCCAGCTCCCTCGGGCAACCTGGGTCTCCGTGGCGCTGGTGGTGACTCTGGCCGGCTGCGTGGCCGCCTTCAGCTGGACGGCGATTCGCAGGGGGTAAGTTGCCCGCTCCTGTGCTCAGACACGGCACCTCCTCACGGGCCGGACAGCGCGATGGGGCCGTGGGTGTCCCAGTTGTCTCTCCCGCTGCATCCAGAATTTGTGTGAGACTTTGGTGTTAGACATGTTACTGTGCTAGATGCTCAGAGGACAAGTCTGAGGCTCTGCTGTGTCCACAGGTCCCCAGGGAAAATACCTGTCTGTGGGTCCCTGCCAGTGACCCTCCACGCCCTGCAGGGGAGGCCCTGCAGGGGAGGCTGGGGCCCCTCCACGCCCCGCAGGGGAGGCCCCGCTGGGAGGCTGGTGCCCCTCCACGCCCCGCAGGGGAGGCCCCGCAGGGGAGGCCCCGCAGGGGAGGCCCTGCTGGGAGGCTGGTGCCCCTCCATACCCCGCAGGGGAGGCCCTGCTGGGAGGCTGGTGCCCCTCCACGCCCCGCGCTGGGAGGCTGGTGCCCCTCCACGCCCCGCAGGGGAGGCCCCGCAGGGGAGGCCCCGCAGGGGAGGCCCTGCTGGGAGGCTGGTGCCCCTCCATACCCCGCAGGGGAGGCCCTGCTGGGAGGCTGGTGCCCCTCCACGCCCCGCAGGGGAGGCCGGGGCCCCCCTCCACGCCCCGCAGGGGAGGCTGCCCCCCACCTTACACCAGTGAAGAGCCCGTCTTACTACCCTTGCTTTTCGGATGCGCGTGGTCTGTCTTCAACAGGAAGCGGTGAGGCGGACAGCAGCGTGGACTGCGCGAGTCCGCTCTGCCCGCTCCGAGCGTCCTGCACACTCCCAGCGACTTTGTGTCACATTAAGAAATGTCCACCACTTGACCTAGAACCTTCTTTACATACTGTGCACTTTTACTGCATGTGTTAGGAAATGGGTTTTCGAGCAGTCAGAGCCCCAGTGCGGAACGCGGTGCATCTCCATTGTGTCTGGAGGTCAGAGCCAAGGTCAAAGCCCTGTCCCTAGGGCTTCTGTCTGTCCTGTTCTCTGGCCGCTCAGCCATGGGCCAGGACACCCACCGCACCTGTCACGCCAGGCCGGCTCAGCCGACCGCAAGGCCGGCCGGACCCCCCCCCGCGACTCCTGAGTCGATGATCTTTCTGGGGTGATGGCTAAGGGAGACCCCGGCAGATTCACAGCTGCGGAGCTCTTCAGAGCGGCCGTCGGGGAGCAGGTGCTGGTGTTGGTCCTGCGGAGGCAGGACACCCATCCCCTTTTGAGAAATTAGCTCAAGCCAAGGAACCGCAGTAAAGCGTAGGCACCCAGCTGCCGCTGCACCGCCTTCGGAAGCACACCTTGGCACAATGATTGCGTTACCCGAATTGAGGTGGTTTCAACACTCTTATCTAGAGGCGTGTGGTTGGTGGGTTTCTCAACTGGCGTCTCCAGGCCTGGCCGCGCCCTCTCCCCGCTGGCTCTGTGTGCCCGCGTCTCCAGGCCTGGCCGCGCCCTCTCCCCGCTGGCTCTGTGTGCCCGCGTCTCCAGGCCTGGCCGTGCCCTCTCCCCGCTGGCTCTGTGTGCCCGCGTCTCCAGGCCCGCTGGCTCTGTGTGCCCGCGTCTCCAGGCCCGCTGGCTCTGTGTGCCCGCGTCTCCAGGCCCGCTGGCTCTGTGTGCCCGCGTCTCCAGGCCTGGCCGCGCCCTCTCCCCGCTGGCCGCTCTGTGTGCCCGCGTCTCCAGGTTGATCTGACGAGCCGCTGACTGTGGCTCGATTGCCTGCTGCCCGTGACCACACCGGACCCATGGGTGCTGGCAGGAGGCTGGGCCTGGTCTTCAGAACTGCCTTGCATCTGATGCTCTGGCTTTCTCATGTGTAATGAAAGAAACCTATTACCATAGGGAGAACAAAGTTAAACGAGCAAATGCAAGAACCAGTCCCCTGCCTTTTAAAAAGTGTACTGAAGCTAGCCCCCAGGTGCTCACTTCGCTAGGAAACGTGAGGTGTGACCTGTGGCTGGTGCACCGTAGGCAGTGTCCAAACCCCAAACTGTAACATGTCCACGGCGCACAGCGCGAACTGACCAACCCCAGCGGTGAGTGTGCCCGGCCCGGCCCGGCCCGGCCCGGCAGCTCCTGAGCCGTCCACTGAGCACCGTGTGAAAACCAGCAGTCATTCCCGGTGCTGCATGGCTGAAAGCAGTCTCCGGGCAGGCCGGAGGCCCTGACGGAGCTGCCACAGTGCCCTCTGCTGGGTAGCTGGCAGAACTGCATCACAGCCCGTGCTAGCAGACCCGGAGCCTGCCTTTGCGTCCTGTGGCGTAGGGATTCCTCCTTGGCTTGGTGATCCTCTGTGTTTGTCTCATCATTGAAAGTGGGGCAGGGCGGGGGCTGTGGTGGCTGCAGTTGCTCTTCTATGTCTGTTGATCCTGGGGCACCACGGACACGGATGGAGACCCCAGCCACACCACTGTGGACATATGCTGGGCCCACAGGCTTCCTGGAATGACCACACGGAGGCCATGGGGGGGGCGGGGAGGGGCGGAGGGTTCTCTCCAGCCCCAGCCTCCCAGTCCCCAGCCCAGAGCGAGCCCTGGATGACCTCCTGACTCCCGGCTGCCAGGGAGGCAGGGACACAGCCCAGGGGCTCTTCTGGGCTCTGACGGCAGTGACGATGCACGTGTGTATCCGCAGGACACGTTCGGACACCACGGCCACACTGCCGGTCACCGAGAGGGACTCGAGAGTGCCCGTCCAGCCGGAGTGTGACAGGGGCCAGGCCCACGGGACGCCTCCACCCCGGACGGCAGCCCGAGGCCCGGAGCGGGTGGGTTCACGCCCGTCCGTAGGGTGATGGCGTGACCAGTGCCCCTCACCAGGAATCGGGCATCACTGAACGTACCTGCCATGCTTGCTGCTCGCCAGGCCCCACCTCCAGCACCGGACCCCGCACCCTCCCGCCTGCCACCCTCCATGCGGACTCTAGTCCTCAGAGAACCGTGACCCATCCAACGGTGAACCTACTTTTAAAAGTACAAATGGAGTGACAGGAACAAAAATGGCTTTCATTAGATGGACCAGTTCAAACAAAGGCTATTTACTTCAGTGTTACCCAAGCCTTCGCTGGAAATGGACGGGAAATTAACTAAGAGCCAAAAGAGAATGTTGGCTTACGTTTGTTTTTTAAGATGGGCCAATGGCTGTCAGTGGGGAGGCCCGAGGGAGGTGGCGTTTAGCCCCATGCGCTCACGCTCGCCTTGACGCCGGGTGTGGGTGCAGGCCGCAGGGTCGCAGGGTCGCAGGGCCGCAGGGTCACAGGGCCATAGAGTCGCAGGGTCACAGGGTCGCAGGGCCGCAGGGTCACAGGGCCGCAGGGCCGCAGGGTCGCAGGGCTGTAGGGCCGCAGGGTCACAGGGTCGCAGGGCTGTAGGGCCGCAGGGCCGTAGGGTCGCAGGGTCACAGGGTCGCAGGGTCACAGGGCCGTAGAGTCGCAGGGTCACAGGGTCGCAGGGCCGCAGGGCCACAGGGCCGCAGGGTCGCAGGGCTGTAGGGCCGCAGGGCTGTAGGGCCGCAGGGCCACAGGGCCACAGGGTCGCAGGGTCGCAGGGTCACAGGGTCGCAGGGCCGCAGGGTCACAGGGCCGCAGGGCCGCAGGGTCGCAGGGCTGTAGGGCCGCAGGGTCGCAGGGCCGTAGGGTCGCAGGGCCGTAGAGTCGCAGGGCCGCAGGGCCGCAGGGCTGCAGGGCCGCAGGGCCGCAGGGCCGGCTGCACAGCTGAGCACAGGCCTTGCTGCACGGCCTGCAGGAGCACTGGACACAGGGTGTCGTTCCCCAGAGCTGCCTGTGCTCTGAGAGCCCAGGAGGGGAGGTGGCCGGAGTGTCCTTGACCACGTACAAGGACCCCACACCACGTGGCACGCACAGCCCACGCCTGCTCCTCCAGCGGGCAGCCAGCGGCTGCCTGCTAGGAACAAAAATGGGAACCGAGAGCAGCCCTTCCACCGGACGATCACCCCGAGTTCAGTGCTGGCAGCACCACGGTGTGAGGGCGCCAGGGACCCAAGCCCCTCCCCAGAGCGGGGAGCACCCCCAGAGCGGGGGGCACCCCCAGAGCGGGGAGCACTCCCAGAGCGGGGGGCACCCCCAGAGCGGGGAGCACCCCCAGAGTGGGGGGCACCCCCAGAGCGGGGAGCACCCCCAGAGCGGGGAGCACCCCCAGAGCAGGGGGCACTTCCAGAGTGGGGAGCACCCCCAGAGCAGGGAGCACCCCCAGAGCAGGGGGCACTTCCAGAG